AAAGGGTTAAACCCAAGTCAGAGTTTCAAAGAAGAGTTGGAAGTAAAACTGCATTTTGACACCAAAGACCATCTCTGAGGAGAGTTTGGCTTTCACTTCTTCAGAGCACAGGCAGGGCACAGATGTTAATAGTTTGGTTTTCAGCCCCTGATGGGAGGGAGGTGCACATGGTCCTTTGGAGCTGAGATGGTCCCCAGGCTCCCCACAAACCACTGCATTAAAGGGCCTCTCATGCCAGAAGATTCTGCAACAGGCCCCTCCCCTCATGCAGGGGGGACAGACCCACCTTGGACATCATGGTTTCAGCTCAGAGTTCACACACCTGCTGCCAGCACAGAGGCCCCCAGGGCTGTCTGCCAGCCCCCTCGCACTGGCTGTGTGAAGTGGCAGCTGAGTGCCACACGTTTACCAAAAATGGAGTGAAGTAACCGGCTGAACCGTCGAAAAAGAAACCAGTGGGGAAAACGCTGAGGCCAAGCGCCCCAGGACCAAGTCTAGGCTGGCCTCCCGGAGGCCGGATTTCAGCAGGAGTGAGAACTTCATGGCAGCTGGGGACTGACCCTGTCCGCTCACCCAGACTCACAGACAGTGCCCACCACGCCTGCGGGCAGCTTGGGGGGACGTGTGGGTCTCCTTAGGAATGCCCATTTCTGGTCTCCCCTCAGGAAACATGTTTGTAATCCTTTTTGAAGAGAAAATCAATGTCAAGGCGTATCCAGATTTCAGTGTCAAAGACAGGCGGATCCCACGACACACTGGTGCCCGTGCGCCAGCCTCCTCACAGGCAGGTGCCACCAGGCATCCTATAGGGGCCCTGACAGCGTACGGCCCAGACCCAGGACCATTTATAAAACGACAGGTCTCTGCAGAAAACCCGCTGAGCAGCCACAACAAGAATCACGTGCAAAGAATGACCTCAAAGATGTGCAGATGTTAACAGTTTGGTTTTCAGGCATGTCAGAGACCACGAGGTGATGTGCTGTCCTCACCGATGGAGCCCTGAGGAGAGGCGGAGCCTGACCCTGGACTGCAGCCCGTTTCCTCGCTATCTAGGGACAAATCAAAGATGGGAGTTGAGGGCAACCTCAAGTCGGAGCCCCTATACTCTACAGCACTCCTTTATAGCACTTCCAAAAAGCAATGCTCTCTTTCTTTCCCCATAGCCAATTTTGGGGGATTCTAAAAAGGAGTCCCTCCCATATTCCGTGTGTGTGGGACAGTGGCAGGGCGTGCTGGCTGCTGCTTGCCACACGCACTCACTGCTCCTGGCTGGCCTTGGCACCAGGGCCTGCAGCTTTCTGACTGTGAGGAGAGTCTCCTTCCCTCGTCCGAGGAGTCTCCTTCCCTTGTCCACAGCTGGCTCTGTCCAGGCGAGGCCTTGGCCTGGGGACAGCCTCTGGGGTAGCAGCTGCAAAGCCTCCAGGCATTAAATTGGTTTTCTGTTTTGTCTTTTGGATGGTGGTGGTCTTCCCTGGCTCCAGATGGGTGCTCCCTGCCCTAGGTTGCCCTGGTGGGGTGCAGAAGGGCACATAGATAGATTACTGCCTCATGGCTCTGCAGAAGGCACCTCCGAGCCACGTATGTACGGGGCAGGGATGAGTGCACCCTCCTCAGTGACCCCGGAGTCCTGAGAGCCCCAGGCTGTGCCAGGAGCGTGCCCTGGATGTGCGTTGGCTGCCTCCATTTGCCACCAGGAGAATGACGCAGGGCGTGTCTGGGGAAAGCAGAAAAATGACCCAAAGGGCACTGGTTGCTGATTCTAAGCTCTTGGGTCTCCAGCCAAAGCTGAACATGCCCCAGAAACACTCTGCTTGGCATTAAGGTTTTAGGGTACAAGGTCACCTTTATTTATAACTTATATTCAAAGCCATCAATTGGGTAGTCCCTAAATCTGTAAACTTATAAATAAACAATATTTCAAGCCAAGAGATTTCTTTGGGTCACCCACAGTACAAGAAATGTATACCAAATGTCACGGAAACATGAACATGTCCAAAGCTGTGAGGCCACTGATAACCGAAAACGCAGCAGAGCAATTTTACTCATTCCTGCTGTGAAAGCCGTTCAGTTACAGGAATCCCAGGCTTTTCCACTGGCAAAAGTGGGCACCTTGTGAAGGAGCTGGAAGGCACATACCAGCAGCACCTTCTCTGATGTGTTTTGTGGACAATGTCATTCTGATTTTTTAAACGAAATGGCACACACACTTCTGCTGAATCCTTAAAATAATTCAATTCAGTCATTTGAAATCAATCTTACATTCTTAAAATAGCACATTGGAAAAGCAGGTCTAAGCTATAAAAGCCTTACACATCAGGAACTGGCAGAATCGGCGTCACACAAACGGGTACAGCAAACTGCCAATTTCTGGTCTCAGGAAAGACATGTGGTCATGCATCACACACAAAAGCATTCCATTAAATACTAAATAACAAGCTATTTGAGACCACACTCACCAGGTCATTAAAAATATTTAGTAATCTAAAAACGTGTCACTATGACATATTCGTCTTCCTACAGACCTGAACAATTTGCACAACTGATTTAATCCCATCTGTGTAAAAATGTGCAAAATACATAAGAAATGGGAGAAGTGGGGAGCAATATCACAAATATTCCCTTATTTCTTAAATGGATTAATATGGCTGCTGCTGATCACAGGAAGATTTTAACAGCTTCTTGATGAAGAAAAATTATTTACATAAAAAATGTAGGTCAAAATGGACTGATTTCAGCATGTTCTCAGAGGCCTGCTCTCTTACTAGGTAAGTCAGAATCCACTAAATAAAAGTCCACTAAATAAAAGTTCACAGAAGCAGTTAGGACTTCAAGGAGCCCTTGGGCTTACTGACAGTGGCCTTCCCAAAGACAGACAAAAACGCCAAGATGCCGCTGGCGGTCTGACCAGCCTGGGGGCATCGCCTGCGCCAGGGACATGTGGTGGGTGCCGCAGACGGAGTCTGGGCGGAGCTCAGGGCCTGCTCAGGGTAGGGCTTTCACACAGAACAGGCCCAGAGTATGTAAACTGGCTCACAAATGACTGAGCAGGACTGGGGGAGTATTTTAGACCCTGAGTCCAGCTACACAGTCCATCTGAGGCACTCTCCTCCCGGACCCCAGCGGGAGAATGGGGCCACGCACGACCCCTGTGCCGGAATGTGGAGGGATGCCTGGGGTGCAGAGCCTTCCCTGCACACGGCATCTGCAGGGTGGGAAGGGATTGGAAACGTACAATCGCCAAAACCCTAGCAGCGTCGTGCAAAACCTCCATGTCTGTTCCCACATTAGTGTTCAGTCATGAAAGTCATTCAGGTGATTAAAAACGAAATTAATGTGTTGACGTTCCTTAAACGCCAACTGTTCAGAATTCAAGGCTGGTCCCACAGGAAAGCGAATGAAATGGGCCGAGGTGGGCAGATGTCCCAGCTGCTCTGTATCCCCTCGAGGTTTTCCTCCCACACAAATCCAAAATTCACCACATCCTGGCTAGATTTCCATTTCTTCTCCTTCCTCAGGAAGCCTGTCTGCCTTTTAAGTTTGTATGTATCTGGGGACCAACAGAGACGGGCTTAGCTGACCTCCACGGTGGGAACATAAGAATGGAGAGGCACCACTTCATCCCTTTCCCGGCACCCAGGGCCTGAGCCCTCCCACCGGTGGCACTCCGCGTCCGCTCTTGGTGGCCCTGCCCAGTGTCCTCTGATGCCCCAAAGTGACTCCCTAAAGAGAATATTTGCCGCTGAGCAAATATGCCTGGTGAGCAAAATAACCTCTTGAGGGACTGCATCACGGGAAAGTCCCAAAGGTGTTAAAATGACAAGACAAGGAGCCGCCCGGTGCCAGCCCCGCAGGTCTGTGGCTCTCCGGCAGCTGCCAGAGATGGGGGCCCACTCTGACCCCCCCTGTCAGGCACTTATTGTCCAGGCCCTTGCTCCCCACCTCGCCCCTTCACCCCTCCCACTGCCAGGAGTCATGCGGTGAGGGCTGCAGGGGAGGCATGGACACAGGCTCTGAGCACCACGGCAGCTCCTGCATCAGTGGGAACATTCATCACTGCAAAGCCTTCCTTCCTCCAGGGCCCGTCGGCTTAGGGGAACAAGCACACCTTCTTGACCATGCGTGCTGCAGGCCCAGGTGTCCCAAGAGGCACCAGTAAGGGGCAGCTGGCACAGGAGGGAGTCACTGCCCACCCGGGTGAGGCTGGTTCTGCCGGGACGTTGGGCACCACCCGAGTTCAGGCAGCAGCCTGGGCAGCTCCCCCAACCCTCCCCTGCCAGCCACGTCCCGCCTCCCGCCTCCCCTTCCGGGGAGCTTTGACACAGACCCACGAGGTGCCCTTGTGTAGAACTGAGGAGGACAGGGACCACAGAGCAGGCCTGTGAGAGGGGTGGGGGTGCCAAACGGGAGGGAGTCGTTCGCTGGCTGGGATGAAAGGGTGGGCTTCCCATCCAGGCGTGCAGCCAGCCACAGCCAGACGGTGGGTGACAAGCACTTATGGTAGAGAGCTTTGCATCCGCCCCATCCCATTCAGTTTTTACTCCAGCTGCAAGGGGAAACTTCTGCAACTTCTTTGGCAGGTGAGAAGGTGAGGTCAGGGTTGAGTTACTCTGCCCAAAGTCACAAAGTAAGGACAGAACTGGAACTGCCACCCGGAGCTGCAGACCACAAGCCCACCTGCTTATTCCGTGCAGCACAACCCGGTGACTGCCGGGCTCTGTCAGCTCTGCAGGGCTGCGGGGGCCAGGGTCACGAGGGTGCACTCTGTCCAGTGTCAGAGGCACCCAGAGCCACCGAGACACCTGCCTACTGAGACGCAGGCACGCAGAGCAGTCACAGAGCAGTCACAGAGCAGGTCTGGAGCCCGAGACCTCCCTCCCATCCTCTGTTCAGGGGTTGAACCAGCTATTTGCTCAGTGAATAGTCAAAACAATCCCCTTTCCTTCTACCCCACCCAGTTGCCCACGAGGGAAAACGCGTGAGGACAGGACATCGCCACCTACCTATTCCTCTTGGTTTTCATGGTTTGGTCCCCCCTGCCGTCTTCAGAACTTGATCCATCGCTGAGCTCAGCTGAAAGAAGATGGAGTTAGCATGTTGGAGAGTCAACGCTCGCCGCTTTGGAACGCCAGCAGCAAGCACTCGGTTGCAAGCAGCCTCATCTGGAGACTAAGGACACAGATGCCCTGAGAGATGATACCAAACCGTACACCCGGCTTTCTCTTGGTTCACTCCTTTTATGTTTTGGCAGGAGAGAAATCTGATTTTCTTTTGGGCAGAGAAGCCACAGCTAGCCACTGTCCCTTCAGAAGCTGCCAGGTCTTCCAGGGGGCTGGAGGGTGGGGAACCAAAGGCGGCCGTCACCTGACCCCCTCCACCCGGGAGCCAGGCCCAGGGCCAGCCCCCTACTTCACACCCGCCTCTGCACTCATGTGTGCGAAACGAGAGACCAGGTACCCCCATGTCCCCTGCACACAGCCCACACTCACAGCGACCACGTCTACTTCAAAATACCAAATTCACCTTGAAGACAGGCTCCCCTTCTGTCCTGAAGAGGTCGGCCCTGTAAATGTTTGAAAAACCTTTGGAACGACAAAGTAAAAAGGTGCTTTGGTGTCTCACTTTTGTCTCTGAAATGGAAAGTGGAGAAGTGGCTAGAAAGCCGGCTTTGGAGCATCATCGCTTCGGTCCTGGCAGCCTCAACGCGCCCAAGCCTGCAGTGGCCTTCTCGCCTGTTCTCACCCTGTGTCCCCAACCACGTCCACCCCACCTGGAAACCTCTTCCTCACGATCACATGCCGTGTGGGGGAGGAGCGGGGCCTGGGCTCTGAGGTGGTCAGAGGCCGGAAGGTCCCGGCTGGCCCCGGACCCCTTCACCCTGGCTCTCACAGCCTCATCCTCCCAGCACGGCCTGTCCAGCACACCAGCAGGGGCAGCGAGGCCTCCTGAGCCAGACCGGGAGCAGGCCAGCCAGCCCCCGTGCCCTTGGCATGCCCGCCATGTGTGGGAAGAGGCACAGAGACCAGCCCCATCAGGAATGCCTTAGGGTGCGCAGGGGGAGGGGAGGTCTAGGATGCCCCAGAGGAAGACCGAGGAGCCGGCCAGCTGTCGGGGCTCTGGGACAGGCTGCCTCCACTGGGACACTGAGGACGGGTGGGCTGTCTGCGGGCTGTCCTGCCCACCACCTCCCTCCTCTCCACCCACCAGACGCCCTGAGCAGAGCCCCGTTACAGCTGTGACACCACAGATGTCTCCAGAAATTGCCAAATATCCCCAGAGGCAGAACCAGATGTCTTGAGAAAAGACCGTGTGTGACTGCCGAGCTGATGTGGGAGTGGGGTTCATCCGCACTCCCCACTCTTCCCACGCATGCCCCTGCAGAGTGCCAACGTCCCTTCTGTGCTGGTCACCCTAGAAGGCGCACTGCCGTCCCCTGCCTGCCTCCCCACCTCCCGGCCTCTCCACCCCAGGTCTCACAGGCACCCTGCTCAGCACAAGCGGCCTGGATCAGCGCTGGCCTTCTGCCTCCACGCCCACCGGCATCCCTCTACGTGAGAGTAAGGGACTTGCTGTCAGGGCCCCCTGGTCCCCACTCCTCCGCACACAGGCTCTGCTTCGGCTCCCGCACACCAGCTGTCCCCCTTCCTGCCCGCACCTCGGGCTGTGAGAAGTCTCCCCAGGCGTGATCCTCACCGGCGTGCTGAAGGGCTGATGCCCAAGCTACGTGGGTAGAAGTGGGCTGTTTGTCACCTGCTTGTCTTTTAGGCAGAGAAGACGGGGGTGTGACACGGAGCAGTAGACGTACAACCAAGGCACCGAAAGAGGGGTGGAGGGGGTAGACCCTTCCCGCGTCCCCCAGAGCACAGAGCAGGGAACTCAAGGGTAGGTGTGAAAAATAATAATGATTAAAAAAAAATTAGTTCATTCTATTATAGATTTTTTAAAATACATTTTTGTTTGTTTTTGAATAATCTCATCATGCATAATGCCTTCCTAATCAAGATACAAAATTCAGAAGCCATAAAGGAAATATTTACAAATTTAACTGCCTTTAATAATGTGAATCCAGAGGACCATCAGGCAAAATGGTGGAAGAGGGAGGGGGCCCTCAGGGTCAGTCCCAACACCACAACAACCCCTGAGCGGGACAGGGAGGGGAATCCACTGTCTCGGAACTCAGGAAGGCTGCCGGCGCTCAGAGCAGCCAGGGGACGGACAGCTGCAGGGAGTGGCTGCTTCCTCACCCACGACGGGTGACGGGACACAGACCTCAGTGGCCATGCGCGACGAGGTACACACACTTTTAAAATTAGTTTGAGAAAGTCACAAGGGGTGGCTCCAGTCCTCAACAAGCAGGAATCAGGAATCCCTTTGGAGCGAGAATCATTATTATAATGTTGAAATACTCAGAAAATTCAGTTTTCAACAAGAAAATTACGAAGCAATAGGAGAGTTTGCCCATTTCGCAAGAAAAAAGGAATTTGACAGTAACCATCACTGAGGAAGCCCACAACAATTAACTCAAAATGCGGGGCGCAGCTACACTTCAGAGCTAAAACTCTGAGACAGAAACACAGGGGTAATCTTCCTGACGCTGGCCTTGGGCGTGGCATCTTAATTATGACACTAAACATGCAGGCAATAAAAGGAAAAAAAACCCAGATTAATTGGACTTCGTAAAAATTAAAAACTTCTCCGCATCAAAGGATACTATCAATAGAGTGAAAAACACAGAAGGTAAAAATATTTGAAAATCCCATATCTGTTCAGGGTTAGTATCCAGAATACATATAAAACTCCTACTGTGCAACAACTGAAGCAAAAACAACCCTGTTAAAATTGGGGCAAAGGACTTGAATGAACATTTCTCCACAGAAGACACACAAACAGCCAAAAGGGCATGAAAGGCGCTCAGCACCTGAGTCACCAGGGGAATGGAAACAAAGCCCGCGAGGCGGTGCCGGCGCAGACACTGCGGTGGCAGCTATGATGATCCTGGGGAAGCACAGGCACCACGGAGGGTGTGGAGCCCTCTGCACGGCGGGTGGGGTTGGGGGGAACATGGTGTGGCTGCTGTGGAAAAGGCTTGGCCCCTCCTCAAAGAGCCTAACACAGAATTACCACATGAGACAGAAATTCTACTCCTAGGCACACACACAAAATAATTTAAATGGACTCAAACAGGTCCCTGTATGCTGGCATTCGTAAAAATAGCCAAAAAGTGGAGGTGACCAAAGTGTGCATCAATAATATGACCAACTGCGGCCCATCCACACAATGGGGTGTCACTCATCTCTGAGAAGGAAGGAAGCCTGTGCATGGGACCATGTGCCACTAGAATGCACAGCCCTGCAGCCATTCAGCGAAGGGAGACCCACAGCTGCCTCCCTCCAGCATCGGGAGGAGGCCCACAGAGGCAGGAGGCAGGGCAGGGGCAGGGGGGGTCCCATGGAGTTGGCAGCGCCCACAGAGTCTCTCTCGGGGGTGATGCAAAGTATTGGAAATAGCGGTGAAGGTCGTACATCATTGTGAAGGCACTTAATGCCACTGAATTGTGCACTGAAAATGGTTAAAATGTCAAATTTCATGTTCTGTATATTTTACTAAGAGAAAAAAAAATCAAGATCAATTTGTTGTATGGAAAAAATGAATCAGAACACTGAGAGAAATGCTGGACTCATGCTATGGCCAACATGTGACATCCTTCACTTACAAGAGTCCATGGAATTCAGTAAGAAAGACAGAAATACTTATAGCACTTTGCAGGAATCCGAAACAAAACAAATGGCCATCCAACTTGGGAAAATGTTTGATTTCACCCAAAATTAAAAGAATGTTTAAAAAATAAAATTTTGATAATCTGTGGTGCTTATGAGGGTAAACTAGTCAATCTTTTTAGAGAGAAATTTAAAATGTGTACCTTTTGAACAGGTAGTTCCAATAATATGAGTTTACACAATAGAAACAATTGTCAAGGCACTCCTAACATAAACATATGTGTACAAAGACGTTCTTGTCGCATCACATGTGTTAGCACGAACAAACAAATGACCTTGAAGTCCCGGGCAGGAAGGATCTCATGAAGTCACGGTGTAGCCAAGCCAGAGAGAGAGAGAGAGAGAGATCGTGAGAGGCTCAGCACACGCCAGGATGGAAAGCTAGCCCGGGTGTGCACGAGCAGGCGCAGGACAGAAGTGCGGCACTTCAGCTCCTCAGGTGTTTTATCGACCTACCTACCTTCGGACACACACAAAAGCTGCAAGTCTCCAAAAGGTGTTGTTTCACACACTTGCCAGGAAAGGCATGTATATATTACAAAGCAAGGCAGCAGGGCAGGTGGGCAGCTAGTTTAAGGTCTGTGTCTGTCTGTGAACCAAATGTCTGTCTGCCTGATTGAAGCAGTTGGACCTACTACGTGCAGCCCTCTTATGAAGGGAAGGTGCACTCTCTGGGCAAAACTTGCTGGAGAAGTTGGGGAGTGGAGTTTGGTGGGGAAGGTGTTTGCGTTCAGAGGAGACCATGGGATGTGGCACGCACCTGAGTCCTGAGGCAGAAGGCAGAGGCGCCCGAGGACAGCAGCACGCCCACTGTGATACTGCGATGTCACCGTAAGGCAGTGCTGGTGTCCGGGGAAGAGGTCCTGCTCCTCTCCCAGGGGGTCTTGCTAATGGGCACTCAGATTCTCCCATCCCATTTTCCACCTCTGCCCTCTGCTTCTCTAGGAGCAACATGCTTAACATGAGCTTTGTGGGGATGCGTGCAAACCGGATGGCCTGAGATCATCTGAAAGTTCAGGGTGTCTGCAAACATCTGGCTGAGAAGAACCAGGGCGGGGCAAGAGACTTTCATCCCGCACAGAAGGTGCAAGCTACTCACTAGAACAAGACATCAGAGCCTCTCCAAGACACCCCTCCAACCTGGTGACCCTAAACTGCACAGCGGGGAGCCGGCCTGGGAAGGCGCTTTCAGAAGGCTAGGCGGAGGCTGCCTCTGGGAAGAGCGGAGTTCTCTGACTTCAGTGTCTACTAACACAGCGAGCTGGGAAACATGCTTCACCAGGGCTCCTCAAGTCC